TATATATTCTTTGTTGCCTGTTTGTTTGTTTTTTATAATTGATTTGATAGATTAGAACTCTTTATCTCTGTTTACTTTTTCTACTCGTTTGGACGCAGCCGATACAAAATGCTGTTAGGTTTGGTCGGCGCCGACATTAACGTCATCTATTCAAAAATTAAGAAAGCAAAATAAAGGCGTTGTGATATATTCAGCCCAGAAAACAATCGAGACAGCCATATCTTTAGCAATTATAGAAATAAATATTTATAGCCACAACCGTCTGACATAATTTCCACAGAGAAAAACAACATTTTTTTCCCTAAAATCTTCATCTCGTACCAAATCGAAAACTATTTTTTCCCAAAATATAGGTGATTTGCCGGTCTGATACATTCAGTAGCACAGCTTGACTACACTCGGCTGTTACTCTGTTCTCAAGATAAACCTTTTTTTTACACGTGGTCGAATGAAAGCAAAGCAAGCAAATATTTATGTATATATCTTTCTTTTTCTTTTTTATGTGCCATATCTTTCATTGCTTTCCACCTCCCTCTATCTCTTGCATTTCTCAACAAGTTCCTTCCCTCTGCCTCCTCCCCCAGACCACGTTCTGTCATCCACTTGCTTCAGTCTGCCAGGTATGTCACGCGTTGTTTTTCCTTGTCTCTCTTTCCCTCTATTCGACCTATGAGTATCAGATTCTCCGGGCCTTCCTTCCTCATTATATGTCCCAGAAACTTCAACTGCCTCTTCCTGATATTAAGTATAAGCCACTTCCTTGTTTGCAACGTCTCTAAGATCTCATCATTGCTCACATGCTCCGTCCATGATATCCCCAGCATCCTTCTGTAGAACCACATCTCCGTCGCCTACAGTCTCTTCTTCATCTTTGAGGAAATCGTCCAATATTCGCTGTCGTAATGAAGGACAGATATCACGTAACAGTTCAGTAATCTTTTCTTTGTATATATTAATCTTGAAAACGCTGTCTAGATTTAATAAGTAAGTTTTATGCCTTTTTTGTTTAATTAACTCCTACTGTGCAAGGATGCTGAACTCTTTAATCCATTAGAGTAACGTCCAAAGTGTAAGGCCCAAGAGTCACTCGAGATACAGCGTTAAGCGGGACAGTTTATGGAGATAGAAGGGGAAGAAAACTGTTAATCCTAGACATAAAGAGATTAAGATTGTAGAGATCGGGGAAGCATTATCTTGGGAGCCGATTCCACAAAGCGGCCTTTTGTAGGAGTGGAACTTACATCTCACCAATGGAATACGAATGGAATGTGGGGGGTTTGCTACGATGTAAGTGAAATGGCGAGTCTTAGACGCGATGGTTAGAATTTGTGGAACTAAGGAATGTAGCTCGTCTGAGCATATTCCATGGATAATAGCGATAGAGTAGCGACGTTTCAGCTCTGGGAAAAGGGGTGGTAGGGTGGAAAATAATTCATCCTCCAAAAGGCAACGGAGGCGCTTTTTAACTATATCGAGACTAGAGAGCTAGTGTTCATATACGGCAGTAGTACTCCATTTTTCGGACTGATCTGGCTCTTGTAAATGAAAAATAAAATCATATATTGTAATTAAATTAAATTTGACGAAGCAGGAAAGAAACGCTGTTAAATAATGGTTTAGCAGAGAATTATTTATTTTTTTTAGAGAATTGTATTTCTGCTCTGACTTCCTCAGTCTGAACTTTGCGGTCAGATACAGGAAAAAAAAGGAAGTCGATTTTGATTGGCTGAACTGGCGTAGAAATGCTGGACAATCTCCTCACAGATAAAGAAGAGTTTTTCAACAAGTTTGCCTTGATTTTTTTTATATCTAATGGACTTATTGCTCCAAGTAAAGGGGTTAAAATTTTTTGCTATGGCTCTAGATATTTTTGGGAGGGCGCTTTCTATTTCAGTAATGATGTGGCGCATCTATATATATATATATATATATATATATATATATATATATATATATATATGTCCCAAAGGGTAAGCAGAGTATTAAAAACAGGGAAAATTTAATTAGAAACAAAGAGAAGAGTATTGAAATGTTCCGTAATATCAGTCGACTCATATGGCATTGAATGCTGGACAATCTCCTTACATACAAAGAAGAGACGTGTAGCTACAAAGATGTGGTTCTACAGAAGGATGTTGAGAATACCAAGAACTGAAAATATGACCGACGACAAAGGTCTAGAGAAAATAGAAACAAAAACTACAGCTATATTTAACATCACGAAAAGAGCTGAAGTTCCTATGTCACATAATATGGAAAGGGGGCTTGAAGAACTTGATACTCACAGGACGGATTGAAAACATGAGGTAGAGAGGAAAACAACAGATAACTCGCCTAGCAAGCTTGAATAAATGGATGAACAGGGTTTTCCAGAGAAAACAAAAAGAAAATAAAATATAAATAATGGCTTAGTAGAATATTATTTTTTAGAGAATTGTATTTCTGCTCTGACTTCCTCAGTCTGACCTTTGCGGTCAGATACAGGAAAAAAAAGGAAGTCGATTTTGATTGGCTGAACTGGCGTAGAAATGCTGGACAATCTCCTCACAGATAAAGAAGAGTTTTTCAACAAATTTGCCTTAATTTTTTTTTTTTTGTATCTGATGGACTTATTGTTCCAAGGAGAGGGATTCAAATTTTTGCCATGGCTCTAGGTATTTTATTTATTTATTTATTTTGGTGGGGATCTACCTATTCCAGTAATGATGAGACGCATAGTGATATATATATATATTATATATATATGACACCGAAGGCGCATTAGGATAACCAAAGATACATTCCAAAAAGTAAACAGAGTATTTAAGAAACAGGAAAATTCTGTTAGAAACAAAAAGAAGAGTATTGAACTGCTCCATAATATCCACTCGACACATATGACATTGAATGCTGGACATTCTCCTCAAAGATAATGAAGAGACGTGGAGCAACAAAGCGTTGGTTCTACAGATGTTGAGAATACCATGAACCGAACGATGGTCTAGTGAAAATAGAAACAATATTAAAGCTCTATTTAACATCAGGAAAAGAGCTGAAGTTCCTATGTCACATAATGAGGAAAGGGGGTTTGGAGAATTTCATACTCACAGGACGGATTGAAAACAAGAGATACAGAGGAAAACAACAGATAACTCACCCAGCAAGCTTCAGTTAAGGGATGAACAGGGTTTTCCAGAGAAAGCAAAAAGGCAACAAATTAAATAATGGTTTAGCAAACTAATATTTTTTAGAAAATTGTATTTCTGCTCTGACTTCCTCCGTTTGACCTTTGAAGTCAGATACAAGACAAAACAAATGAAGTCGATTTTGGTTGGCTGAACTAGCATGGGAATGATATGGAAAAGTTTTTCAGAGAGACAAGTCTTACACGTCGAAGAATGTAGACGTGTTTCCTTCGTGTTCTCTGTTTCCATCTTTCTATCTCTTTCCACTTCTCTCTCTTTCTACCTTTCTCTCTTTCCACC